GCGCGGCCGGACGAAATGATTCCCTTCCGGGCGGCCGTGGCGGCGCGGTGTCCCTCCGGTGTTCCGCCGGTGTCCCGTCCGTGTCCCGTCGGTGTCCCGATGATGATGTTGATGAGACCGGTCGAGAGAGATCGATGATGAGATCGATTGTGAGATCGATGGTGAGATTGATCGAGTGAGATCGATGAGTGAGACCGATAAAGAGATCGATAGTGAGATCGATAGTGCAAGAGGGGGCGCGGGCTGCGCCAAGCTTTGCCAGCGCTTCAGTCTTCTGTGGCCAAATGGCGCCGTTAGCTGCCGTTGCGCAAGTTGGGCAGGTTCCCATGGGGAGGGCCGAATGGTACCAAGGCGCCAAAGAGCAAAGGGTGACGTAAACAACTCGACACCAACGCTCCCAAGAGCGAGCGGCAACGCAACTATCTCTACTGGCATTGTCACAACAACATTCACCACTGTTGCCCATTGCTGGGCCCCTCCCCCCCAACCTCCTTATCACCCGCAGGGTGGTCGTACAGGTAGTAATAATAATCATACTAATAATGATACTAATCATAATCAGAATAGTGATAATAATCATAATAATGATAAACATTATTCATCATAGTCTTAATCACACTATGAATACGAATGATGACAATAACAAAAGGCTGAAGGGAGAGGAAGGAGGAGGAGGAGAAGGAGGAGAAGGAGCAGGAGGAGGATGAAGAAGGCAGCGCCGTTTTCGTCATAGCAGTTCGGGCCCCAGCCAGAGTTCAGATTCTACCGCGGTGCATTCTAAGACAAAGTGTGGATCCCCCCTTTGCAAGCCGACGGCCCCGAGATCCAGCAAAAGGGACCGCTCGGGCACGGAACATCTGAAACGAGTCGCGGAATCTCATTTACTTGAACGCCCCTGAGGGGGCAGACACCGCCGCCCCACCATTTTTGGATCCTGGAGACTCTGTGGGAGCGGCGGCCGCTCCGCGCGCGCGAATAGGAGATGTTCTGGTGCTGGTGCTGGTGCTTCCGTTTGGAGGCCTCGTGGGGCTCTATGGAGAGGACATTGGGCTCCTCAGCGAGCTCTCTTTCGTATGGCCTTGAGCCCAGGACGGCCGCAGAGAGGCTGGAGGAACTGAACGCAGCGATCTCTGTGTCGTATGACCCTGAGGCCAGGACGGCCGCACAGAGGCTGGAGGAACTGAAAAAAAACGTCGGGGTTTGTCCCAGAAAGCGCGCCGAGGAGTGTCTTTCTCATGACCCTGAGGCCAGGGCGGCTGCAGAGAGGCTGAAGAAACTAAAACAAACCGTCGGGTTCGTCCCAGGGGGACCTCTGGAGGGGCCCGAAAAAGAGCCGGAATGGGTCAAGTGCGGCGACTTGGGGTGAACCATAAAAACAGCAAGGGAAAAAACAGTTCGGGTTTGTTTGCGGCTCCTGGAAAAGCCCCTGGAGGCTCTGAGGGGGCGCCCCAGATGGGCGAAATACGGTGCCAAGAAGGCGACCAGACGGCCCAAGATGGGTCCGAGAGGTTGTCAGGACGGTCGTAGAGAGCATGCCCAGGTTCTAAGATGGCCGCAAGAGCCAGCGGAGATGCACGGGAGCTCCGAGAGAGGCGCAAAGAGAAGTGCGAGAAGGCCAGAATCATCAAGCTCCCATGTGTTTTACGATGTTTTTTGCTTGTTGGGGTGTTCTGGTGTATGTGGCTCGAACAGAGGTGGAAAGGCATTTGAAACGGTTCAAAGTGGCCCGAAGGAGGGTGAAAATGAGCCTAGGAGAGCCTCAGGAGGCCCGAGAAGCCGGCCCAGTGGGCTCCTGGAGAGGTCTCTGAGAGCACCTGGCGGTGCCTGGAAGGCTAGCACGTGAACGGGGGGTCGTCTTGGGACGGAAATGGCGGCCAGAAGGCGCCCCGGTCGCAGCCGGGGCCCCCGGGCCAGCGGAATGAGCGAGGTGCGGGGAGGACCCTAGGCGGGGTTGCGAGGGCTCAGAGGCAGGGGTAGGTATGAAAAGCTCGCTGGAGAGAAGACTTACACAAAGCACTATTGAAGACCATGCTGTGGATCTCACACGCCGTACCCGGTGGGGCGGCGGATCGCTTGGCTCATTCCGCTGGCCCACATTGCGCACCGTGGTCGTCTTGGGCTTTTCCGTATCCGTCTTCGACGGTGTGATTCGGGCTTTTCCGTATCCGTGGACATTTTTGGGCCAAATTCGGTCGTGGATAAAACGCCGCCTTGGGAAGGCGTCTAGAGGTCTCTTGGGAGGCCTTTCGGGGGCCTCTTGGCGATATGTTGGACCTCCTGGGGTTTCTTGGCGGCCTCTTGAGGGCCTCGTGGAGGTCTCTCGGGGCCTCTCGGGGGCATCTTGGGGGCCTCTTGGAGCCTCCTTGGGATCTCTCAGGGCTTAAACCTCGAAATGTCCGTTCGGATTCCCCGTCTGGGCCTGCTTTGAGCGCCGTCTTGGGGACCTCTTGGGCCATCTTGGAGGCCTCTAGGGCTGTCTTGGGGCGGTCTGGGGCCGTTCTGGGGCGCTCTTGGAGGCCTCTTGGGCAGTGTTGGGGCGATCTTGGGTGCCTCTTGGGCCGTCTTGGAGCGCCGTGTGGGCATTCCAGCTCACCGTATATACCGATAGGGCTGGTCTTCGGACCCGTGAAGTGCACGGATTCCCCTTAGTAGCATGCAACAGGCAACGTGGAGGAGGAGGAGGAGGAGGAGGAGGAGGAGGAGGAGGAGGAGGAGGAGGAGGACCAGTGTAAACCCAAGAGTATTGGAATAAACCCTCCCCCCAAGCTCCCTCTTCAGAGGCCCCCATAGCGGTTCATTTCCATTGAGGGAACTGCCTCTTTGGAAGACAACCGCTTGAAAACCCTGAAGCATGCCAAAACATCGTTCTCGGGATTCCAACGCCACGGATCAACCTGACGGTTGCGTCTTGACGGTCTTGAATCGTGCCAGAACGCCATTCTTGGGACAACACAGCGAATCAACATAATTGTTGCACCCGCATAATCCTGAATCTTTTCAAATGATTGTCTCTGGTACGTTGATGATGGGAATCCGTGAAACACGAGTGTGCGCCGCGCTAAGGCGAGAGCCACATTTAAAAGACCACCCGCCCTCAATCCGTGAAGCTCTTGCAAATGTTAAAACGAAGGCGCGCCGCTTTAAGGCGAGAGCCACATATTGAAAACCACCCGCCCTCAACGCGTGAAGCTCTTGCAAATGTTTAAAATGAAGGTGCGCCGCGCTAAGGTGAGAGCCACATGTTGAAAACCACCCGCCCTCAATCCGTGAAGCTCCTACAAATCCTTAAAACGAATGTGCGCCGCGCTAAGGCGAGAGCCACATTTTGAAGACCACCCGCCCTCAATCCGTGAAGTTCTTGCAGATGTTTAAAACGAAGGTGCGCCGCGCTAAGGCGAGAGCCACATTTTGAAGACCACCCGCCCTCAATCCGTGAAGTTCTTGCAGATGTTTAAAACGAAGGTGCACCGCGCTAAGGCGAGAGCCACATATTGAAAACCACCCGCCGTCAATCCGTGAAGCCTTTGCAATTTCCTAAAACGAAGGCGCGCCGCGTTAAGGCGAGAGCCACATGTTGAATACCACCTGCCCTCCATTTGTGAAACTGCTGCCAACGTGTAAGCTTCAGAATCATGAATGGTGAGGAAGTCTCAGGCGAAACGCCCGGCCCGCGGGCTGGGCGTTTCGGGTGAGACATGGAGAAGTGCGACAGGGAGAAGTTATTTCTTCTCGGGTGCGACAGGAAGAAGTACGTTTCCACAATCAGAGCTTGCCTCTGTAGGGGTCCTTGCGGATTCATATGGTTAGGTGAGGTGGACCGCCGATTTCGGCGGCCGGCCCGGGTACCCGGGTGCCGGGGGGTGCCCGGAGGTGCCCGGAGGTACCCGGGGGTGCCCGGGTGCCCAGGTGTTCTATCGCCCTATAGCCCTATAGCCCTATATCCTAGAGCCATATAGCCTTGTAGCCCAATAGCATTGTAGCCCTATAGTTCTATATAGCCCTACAGCCCTATATAGTCCTATATAGCCCTATATAACCCTATAGCCCCATAGCCCTATATCAGCCCAATAACCCAATGGCCCATATAGCCCTATAGCCCTACAGCCTATAGCCCTACAGCCCTATAGCCCTAGAACCCTAAACATATTAGGATTGGTTTTTCTCTGGTATCCTTACAAGGAAAAACATGGAGGAGGACGAGGAGGAGAAGAAGGAGAAGTAGGAGGAGGAGGAGGAGGAGGAGGAGGAGGAGGAGGAGAAGAGAGAGAAGGAGGAGGAGGAAGAGGAGGAGGAGGAGGAGGAGGAGGAGGAGGAGGAGGAGGAGGAACAGGAGGAGGAACAGGAGGAGGAGGAGGAGGAGGAGGAGGAGGAGGAAGAGGAGGAGCAAAAGGAGGAGGAGGAGGAGGAGGAGGACGAGGAGGAGGAGGAGGAGGATGAGGAGGAGGAGGAGGAGGAGGAGGGTGGGAGACGAGGAAGTCGGCTTCCAACCCTGTGGATGACCCGGAGGGGCGTGGGGCTCCTGCCGAGGGGTACCTGCAGCCGAAGCCGCCCCTCTTCGTGCCGGAGGGCCCGCAGTGGCGGGGGTCGGGGGGGCCGCGTAGGCTCGGAGGGCGGGAGGGCGAGGACCTCGAGGTGGGGCGAGGGAGGGCGCGGGTGGGGGAGGCAGGCGAGGGATGGAGGGAAGGGCGAGGGAGTCGAGGGAGGGAGTCGAGGGCGAGGGAGGGAGGGACGGGCGAGGGAGTCGAGGGAGGGAGTCGAGGGAGGGCGAGGGAGGGAGGGACACAGGGAGGGCGGGACGGGGGGCCGAGTAGGCTCGGAGGGCGGGCGAGGGCGTCGAGGTGGAGGTCTGTATGAGTCTACGTAAGCCTCGCAGATGAGGTCCGAGGAGGAAGGTGGAGGAGGAGGAGGAGGAGGAGGAGGAGGAGGAGGAGGAGGAGGATAAGGAGGAGAAGGAGGAGGAGGAGGAGGATGAGGAGTTGGAGGAGGACAGACGCTACAATCTTAGGATGAAAGTCCGTTCAACGTCAAAATGGAAGAGGAGAATGAGGAGGAGGAGGAGGAGGAGGAGGAGGAGGAGGAGGAAGAGGATGTGGACTTCGACCTCTTGGGCTGAGCGGGGGTACCTCCGGCGCACCACCCCTTGCAGCGATGCAGGAGTGTTGGGATTCACTGACTAGCTCCCAAGATAAGGTCAGACAGGTGTGGACAACAATTAAGCAGCCCTCATGCAGAACCTTGCAATGTTGGTTTCGGATCTTCCGATTTGGGGCCTCCGAGTGGTCTTCAAGGAACGTGCCAGCTTAGAATTGCGGGGGAGAGGGGGAGTGTTGCTTAATTTCTTCCCTCAACCGGAGTAGATGGGGTCGGGGGATCGCGCCGCATCGGCGATGCGGCTCGACTTGGAGCCCGCTCTTCTCCGCGCCGACGTCGCCGTAGAATCGGGCTCCCCTCGGCCCGTCTTTGAGTTCGGTGGAAGGTCTCGTCGGGCCTTTTTTGGCGTGTCTGGGAGCACTGGACACATTTGGGCGTTCGGCAGCCAGAAAGAGTAGGTTCGAGCATCGTGTAAGCAATGATTCGGATCGTCACGATCTGGCTTGGGGGAGTCGTTTTTGCCCCAGGAAGCCTACGGACACGTCCTGGAACACCCGAGAGCACCCGAGAACTCCAGTAAGTCGGGGGTCTGGGCCTGCAGGAATCTCACAGTCTTCGAGCCAGCATCACTCGCAGTTGTATTCAAGTGCAGGAGCTCACACCACACCGTGCTCAAAGCAAGGTGGGCAATCTTGGGGTAGCGCTCGGTCCGATGCTATGTTGGACAAATCCTGGCTTCCGTCAGAATCGCGAGTTCATGGGAGACCAGCCTGCAATGCCACATCTAGAGATCTAGGGCGACGCCTACTTGTCGTCATGCGATAGAAATGGTGAGCCCGATTCCTTGTATCGCTTGGTAAGGCGACTTCCTACACTGACGCATGAAACACATATGGCACCGTTGAGTACTCGAGTTGTGGTGCGGCGACTGTCATGGAGAACATGGCCCGCTCCACGAGGACTACGGGTGCGGAGGAAGCCTGTCGCATCAATGTATGAGCGCATGCGTGATTCATACATTTGTTTTGGCGCTGGCATCGTAGGACATTCACCGTGCATGTCCACTGCAGTCTTGTGCTGTGAAGTGAGGTCAAGTCTGGTTTTCGCGCATGTCCTTCGTCGTTGCGCGTCCTCCTTCCCAGTGTGCCAGGAGATGCCGTGAAAACCCATGCCAAGGAAACACCCTGCTTGCCTCCAGGGTGCCCTGGGTTTCCTGGGTTTCGATGGTTTTGCGATGGAACGCGCAGCATTCCCAGACCAAAAATCGATGGACGTCCTGGGGTCTCAGTGTTGGGTTTCTCGTGGAAGGTCTCTTGTGGTCGAGCCCCTACTGTACTGGAGGGCGGGGAGGTCACTGGGACGGTACAGAGCGCCGACCTTCCTCAAGGTCCCCGGAGAGCCGCGCGAGGCCCCCTGCAGGGAGATGGGCCAGGGAGATGCGGCATGCAGAGGGGGGGGGGAGAAGGGGCAAGTCGCCCAGACCCCCTCGCGCTGCGACAAAGGAGGCGACAGGAGGCGTTGTCGCTCTTTCCGGCCCCTGGGGGGACCTTCCCAGGTCCCTAGGCTTCCTAGATGGGGTCGGAGTAGATGTGGTCGGAGGATCGCGCCGCATCGCCGATGCATCGGCGATGCATCGGCGATGCGGCTCGATGTGGGGCCCAATTTTCTCCATGCCGACGTCGCCGATGCATCGCCGACGCCGCCAGCGCATCGCCGATGCATCGCCGATGTATCGGCGATGAGGCGAGATCCTCTGACCCCGTTTACTCGGACCCCATCTCTAGGAGGCCCCTGCTCAACAGACGACGCAGGATGCAAAACCGGTCCCCAGGGAAGGGGTCCAGGCTTTTGGTGGCCGACGCTGCGAGAACAAGTCACGACGTCGGGGGGGCCACTGGTCATGGGCCTGTTGTCCACCACCACCACCACCACCACCATAAGTTGGAGGGAGGAGGAGGTGGAGGAGGAGGAGGAGGACGAAGAGGAGGAGGAGGAGGAGGAGGAGGAGGAGGAGGAGGAGGAGGAGGAGGAGGAGGAGGAGGACCCCTTCCCCCTCCTACTTACGGTGCTGGCGGTGGAAAGCAAGCCCGCGAACTCGGAACGGCGCAGCTCGGCCGACATGCGTCTGCCTCGGGGAGGGGACGCGGAGAGGCGCACACGGCACAGGAAGAGTCCACCTCCTCCACTGGCAGACGCAGTGCAGTTTCGTGCTGCCTCGATCGTTTTTTTTGGGGGGGGCCCAGGCTGCAGGTGCCCTCGGACTACAGGTGCTCCTCCCCATGGACCACATGGGAAGTTTCGAAAAGGGCCTTGCCTTCGAGGATAGAAGGAGTTGTCATCTCTTCCGCGGCGGAAGGGCGGCGGAAGTAGAAACGAGGCCGCGTCCGCCAGCGGAAGCCGGCAAAAAGGCAGCGGAAGTAAAAAGCGCGCCCCCAAGAGATGAAGACGTTTCTGGGTTCAGGGTTTCCGAAACTCTCCACGTGTGCCCCCCGCCCCCCCCCCAGACTGCGGGTATCTTCCCCGCAGTCAGTCTGCAGGTGCCCCTTGCCCGGACTGCAGGTGCCCCCAGGTCGCTTCCGTCCGCGAGACAGGCCGCCCCCCGGGGACGACGGGTACACATGGGTATCCGCCCCCCGCCCTTCCTTCCCCCACCCCCCCAGACCACACGTGCCCATCCCCCAGGCTACAGGCACCCCTCCTGGACTACAGGTGCCCCAAAACCTATCGAGGAGCTCAGGGCACTAGAGGTGCGGTGGGTCATCTGTGTTCGCACGGACGTTGAGCTTCACGAGCCAAGCAATGCTTGGTTGAAGATGTGTCCGGTGTTTGTCCGAATGGTTCTCCTATTCAATTGCGATTTGCGCTTACATATAGCTGCTACTCTGGTGGCGGAACCTTGCGTAATTCACAGGTCCCTCGCCACGTCCTCACGGCAATGAGGCAGCACGTGCGGGAGCGTCCGTCGTGCCAATCCGAATGCGGTGGGCGCGAAATGAGAGATTGAAGCGGTCGGTGCGCGGCCCGTACTGCCGTGCCCTCTCCGCATTCTGGGCGGCGAGAGCACGACCTTTGGTGCCCCGTGGCCGATGCAGAGCCCCGTGCCATTGCCTTTTGCGTCGTGCCTTGCACGTGACGCTGAGTAGGATCGGGAGTGGTATTCCTCTTCCTCCCGCCCTACTCTCATGTTCCGCCCCAGCCAGAGTACGAGTCGCACTGAGTTCCTGAGAGTACCCTCTTGTATTTGCCGCTGTTGAGTGAGAGTTGTCCTGCCAGGGATTTTGCTTCAACGTTCGAGCATTGCTTGTAGCTCTGATTATGGGCTGAAATATTGGAATCCCCGTGGCATCTCGATGCTCGGGTGGTTAGCCGAAGTCATTCCATTGCATTTCTGTCTCATTTCGACGGGCTCGTGCAGGAGCAGTACCACTCTGTTGGAAAGCAGTCAACCCGCATAGTGACGATGAGCAGTTTTGCAAGGTTACCCTTGCATCCTTCCCCTTCTTCCCATCCTTGGCCGCTTTCGCTGGCCGCGCCCCGCTCGCAAAGTGTCGACATGGCCCTCCAAGGCCCTTGCCTCCTTATCGCGCGTCCTTTTCATACGGGTTGACTGAATGGCGCACGCTCTATAGACTAGGTCCCAACGCAGGCTCTACAAGTCGTGCCGATCCTGCAGTCAGAAGAGCATAAGATCATAATCCTCATTCAGTTGCCACCGCGTCAAGAGAAGTGTATATTCCCTCCTGGCTTGACAAAATGATAGACATAACAATGAGGAGGGGGATTGACCAGAGGAGACTGAGGATGAGGATGATGATGCTGAGGAGGAGGAGGAGGAGAAGGAGGAGGACAGGGAACCACAGGAGCAGGAGGAGAGATAAATGACATGCGGTGAGTGCCGACGGGGAGAAGGAGGAACACCAAGAGAAACGAGGAGGTGAAGGATACGGAGGGGAGGAGTAGGAGAAAGAAGTGGGGAGGCGGAGGAGGATGGAAATGGGGGAGGAGGAGGCAGAGGACGACAGGAAGGATAACAAGGAGGAGGAGGAGGAGGAGGAGGAGGAGGAGGAGGAGAAGGAGGAGGAGCAGCAGCAGCAGCAGCAGCAGCAGCAGACATGATGGTCAGAGTGAGGGGGCCGAACGGTCTTACACCATCCCTGGGTGCATGCCTGAAGTGGGCTTCCGCGGTGAGGATAATGGAGTTCTCAGTCCTAAAACATGATTATTGTCCCCCCTCCCGTGCACCTTGCGTGTTTTTCAATTTCAGTGCCCCTCCTAGGGTTCGCACCCTGTTTCTATTTGTTTTTCACCAGGGAAAATCTCGTGTCTCAGACTGGTCTGCTGGTCCTCGAGCTACAACAACAACGGCTCCCGCCTGATAATTCCTCACAATTTATTCAAGGTCGCGCTCTCGCGCGGGACCTCATCACCATTTATGCAGGAAGCGCGCTCTCGCGTGGAGTTTTTTTTGCAATTCATTGAGACGCCAGCCTTCAACATTCAGGAGTCACGATTTACTTGGGAATCGCGATTTACTTGGCAATCGCGCTATCGCTCGAGACTGCCTCGCGATTCGAGCAGCACTAGCGCTTCAGCGATCCGCCCGCTCGATCCAGCCGTCTGGGCCCGCCCGCCCGACCCGCTCGTTGGGGTCCGCCTGGACGACCAGCCCATCTGGTTCTGCTGCTCGTCTTCCTGTTCCCAACCCCCTTCTGCTCGTCGCTCTCGGCCTGCATCCTTCTCCCTCCTCCTTGTCCCTTCCCTCCCCCTTCCCCTTCTCGGTTTTAGAGGCTGCCCCAGCTACACGTGGCAGGTAAGGAAGATATACCCTCAAGGGGGGTACGATCAAGCACGAGAAGGGCGGGTAGCGAGGGTTCGGGATATACATGTTGAGTGGTACGCTAGCATGTGAGAGCGAATACTTTTCAAATGATTGTTGTTTTTTGTTGTTGCTGAGTTCTCAAGTATGAACAAAGCATACTGTTGATTCATCCACCATTGCCCACTGCATGTTTCAATCGAAGTCCCCCCCTCTGGTCTCGCACCCAGGTAATTTTATTTCTGAAAGTCTTGAGGCTCCAAATTGTATTGTTACCCCCGGTTGACAACAACAGCGGCTCCCGCCTGATGCGTCCTCACAACTTGCTCCACATCGCGCTCTCGCTCGAGACTGCCTCACACTCCGCCAACTCTGCTCCAGTGCCCCGCCCGTCCGACCCGCCCGTTAGGGCCCGCCCGCCCGACCCGCCCGTTAGGGCCCGCCCGCCCGACCCGCCCGTCAGGGCCCGCTCGCCCCCGACGCGCCCATTGGGGCCCGCCCGCCCGACGCGCCCGTCAGGGCCCGCCCGCTCGCCTGCTCTTGGAAGCTCCTTCGCCCGCTTCCCGCGCCCCGCCCGAGCCCGCCCGGCCTGTCCGTATGTCAGAGGGGGCCGCACGCCCGGCCTGCGTGCCGTAGGGGGTGCGCGCGCGCCCGACGTGCCCCGGGTCAGAGCCCGCTGTGCTCGGAAGCCCTCCCGCCCGCTCCACAGTGCCCCAGAGATCCGACGCTCCAAAAGCATGTGGAGCGGCGCGATGTGGGCAGTTTTTTCGGCCTCCAGGGGCCCTCGCTGGGCCTCGGGAGCGTCAAAAAACGACTCGGGACGAAACACCGGCCCCAGGAAGTGGTCTGGACCTCCAGGGCCCACGCATCGAAAAAATTGGAGCAGCCAGATGTCTGGGACCCCGCCAGCCCGACCCGCCCGGTCGGGTCTGCCCGACCGACTGGCCCGGCCCGCCCGTCAGGGTCCACACTTGCCAAGTGTACGTATTGTTCCTTTCTCCCTCTTCCCTTTCCTGCTGGATCTTCTTCGCTCTCGATCCTCCTCCCGTCCTCTTGCCTCCCATCCGTTCTCATTTCCTCAATCTCTCCCTTGCCATTTTTCCAAATCCTCCCTGTTCCTCCTCCTCCTGCTCCTCCTCCCTGCTCCTCCCTGTTTTTCCATTTCCTCCTCCTCCTCCTCCTTCAGGGGCCGCGCCAGCTGCACGTGGCAGCCAAGGAAGATCTATCCCCAAAGGGGGAAGGCGAAGAGGGCGGGTGCCGAGGGCTTGGGCATACATGCATTGTTGTTGAAGGGCTCGCGAGCAACGAAGAACGAACAGTCTCAAAAAGGATTGCTTCAAGCGTTGTTGTGCTGCCGTGTTGCCGTGTTGTCGTCGTCCTCGCCCGCGACGCACCCGCGACCCTCTCGGGATCCGCTAGCGGCTAGCGTTCATTTGGCGAAAGAGCGGCGCCTGCGGCGGGACCGTTGTGAAGTGTGTACGTACACTCCGGCCGCTCAAGGAGGAACCCTTTTTGTTGGGGAGGGGCTCAGTGCTCCTTAAAAGTTGTATATGTTTTCCTTTGGTCGTCCTCAGGTTTTCATGGGACATCGAAGTTTGACTTATGGACGAGTGGGGCCTCGTTCCTTATAGAGGGTTCCTCATGACAGCGGTCCGACTGTAATATCGGCGCTAGCGGCGGTCTTCTTCAGAGGTGTTTTCAAACTCGTCGACTGCCGACGGCCGCCCCGCCCCCATTTCACTCTCAACCGCAACTGTTGCGGGGGCTGTGACAGGAAGGACGAGGAGAAAGACGAGAAGGAAACGGAGAAGGCAGAAGGAGGAAAGACGAGAAGGAAACGGATGAGAAGAAGGATGAGGATGAGGAGGAGAAGGAGGAGGTCAGGGATCACGTGGAGGTGGGGGAACAGGGAAGATGAGCAGGAGGAGGAGGAGGAGGCTCTGGAAAAGGAGGGCGGGAAGGAGGGGCGAGAAGGCAGGGTGAGAAAGAATGGGCGGAGGTAGAGAAGGAGGGAGGAAGAGAAGGAGGGAGGCGGGTGAAGGAGGTACGTACCACCCCCTGGATTAAAAAATCCGAAAGAGCGTGTTCTACCGCTGCTGGCGGAAAACCAGGGGGGTCACTACCGGTTCGAACCCCTCCCCCCCCCCCCCCCCCCTCCGGAAACCGGGGGGGGTCACTACCGGTTCGAACCCCTCCCCCCCCCCCTGCCATCATGAAAAGGGGGGGGGGGGGTCACTACCGGTTCGAACCCCTCCCCCCCCCCCCCTCCGGATCCGGAAAACCGGGGGGGTCACTACCGGTTCGAACCCCCCCCCCCTCGAAAACCGAGTGGGGGTGCGGACAGTGGTGGGGACGGTGTTGGTGGGGACAGTGGTGAGGGGATAGCGGGACAGTGGTGGGGACAGTGGGACAGTGGGACAGTGGTGGGGACGGTAGTGGTGGGGACAGTGGTGGGGACAATGGTGGGAACAGGGGGGGACAGTGGACAGTGGTGGTGACGGTGGTGGTGGGGACAGTGGTGTGGGGACAATGGGAATGAGGTGGAAACAGTGGGACAGTGGAGGGTACAATGGTGGTGGGGACAGTGGTGAAGGCGGTGGCGAGGACGGCGGTGGGACAATGGGACAGAGGTACAGTGGGGACAGTGGTGGGGACAGTGGGGACAGTGGTGGGAACAGTGGGACAGCTCAGTGGGACAGCGGAGGAGTCAGTGGGACAGTGGGGACAGTGGGGATAGTCGGGCAGTGGTTGGGGCCGTGGAGACAGTGGGGAGAGTGGAACCGTGGTGGGAACAGTTCTGGGGACAGCGGGGACAGTGCGACAGTGGTGGGGCCACTGGTGGGGACAGTAGGGGCGGTGGTGGAACCAGTGGGGACAGCGGTGGTGAGGACAGTGGTGCTGGGAACACCAGTGGGGGATGTGATGCGGACGGTGGTGGGGACCGGGAGTCGTTTGCTGGCGGTGAGTAGGGGGGGGGGGGGGGGGGGGGGGGGGGGGGGGTTCGAACCGGTAGTGACCCCCCCCGGTTTTCCGGATCCGAAGGGGGGGGGGGGGGGAGGGGTTCGAACCGGTAGTGACCCCCCCGGTTTTCGAGCGGGGAGGGGGGGGGGGGGGAGGGGTTAGGGGAGGGCAGGTTTTGCGGGGGAGGGGGGGGGGGGGGGGAGGGGTTCCAGCAGGGGGGGGGGGGATTTTCGGAGGGGGGGGGGGGGGCGACCCCCGGGCTCCGGAGGAAAAGGTTGGCAATTTTCCACAGTAAAGCGGCGGTGGATCACGCTCTCTCAAAAATCCGGATCGGTACTGCAGGCCCCCTTGCATCGTCTCTATCAGATGGGGCAGGGAGCTTCGACCCTCGATTCCTCGATTGTTCGATGACCCCGCGACAGGCCCGCGCGCCGAACAACGGAACAGCACCGCAAGGCGCTGAGCACTGGAAGCAACAAGTTCTGTTCAGAATCGCCTACGCTGAGAGAGGTAAACGTGACTTGCAGGAAGTCCCAAGCAGAAACGTACCTTTCAGGCAACACAAATGGGACCGGAATCTTTGTTGTGAGGAAGTTCTGAGCAGAATCGCCAAAATACGGTGGCCTCTGAAATTGTCCGGGATTGTTTTGTTGGTGGAAGTATTGGGTGGAATGCGAATTTCCGGTCGTCATCCCATGTTGGCGATTACAATATTAAAGGGGGTGAGGATGCACCAGAAATTTTGCCACGGCGGGCTCTGCAACATTGTATCGGGCCTGGGGCCTAGCGGGAACCGAACATCAAAGTTTCTCCCCGACCTCTGCGGTTCGGACTTTTTAATCCAGGGGGTTGAAGGGGGAGAAGAAGGGAGGGGGAGCAGCAGTGAAGAGGGCGTCTGGAGGAGATGTTGGGCTCGGTGAGCTCCTTCGGCTGAGCGGCAGCCTTCGGCCCAGCAGCAAGCGCACGCGCTGAGCGTCCACCGGCTACTCTCCCCTCTCTCCTGTTGAAGGAAAAGACTTTGCAACAACGCCCAAATTGGAAAGAACCAAAATCCCCCTCCTCCAGCCCCTGGCCTTGACATGAGCCAGCGTTGCGTTGGAGATGCTGGGTTCAACTCTTTTCGGCCCCGTTTCTCCCAGAACGCTTCTTCAAAATTGAAGACGAGGGTGTGGAGTCGGGCGTGGCTAGGTCGAGGATAAATCCGTGCCAGAGCGTTCCAGAAGCGTTCTGGAACGCTCTGAGACGGTCGCGGCGCCCGAGACATCCTCCAGAGCCGCAGGATCTCAGAGATTCTCGATTTGTCCTCACCCAATCTCATCCTCGTCCTGGCTTCGTCTTATTGAGGGGGATCCTGCGAATTGGCTCCTAAACGTTTGTTTGCAGAGTTTTTTCCTTCAACGGTCCCGCCCCCCCTCCCATTCCTTTCCTTCCGTTGTTTTCAGGGAGCAGGCCGGACCGCACTATGGATATGGTGCTGCGGCCTTGGCTCAAGGACACCTGGTCTTCGTCCTCCTCCTCCTCCTCCTCGTCCTCCCTCGTCCTCCTCGCCCTCGACCTCCACCTCCTCGTCCTCCGTCGTCTTTGTCGTCTTTGCCGTCGTCTTTGTCGTCGTCGTCGTCTTTGCTTTCGTCGTCGTCGTCGTCCTCTGACCTGACCCCCGGGACCGCGATCTTATCCGGGCGGCCTGTCGCCCCTCCCTGCCCTCCGGTGCACCTCACTAATTGCCGGCTGCCAGCTTTCTTAAATCGGGCGCGTCCCTTTGCAGGAGGATTTACACCAGAACAGTTGAAACAAATGGCCTGGGGACGATGCTTCTTGATACATATGGACTATTTTTGCGCATGTTTGACTTCTCGATGGTGTTGCGATGAGAAGCGTGGCATTCCCACACCAAGAAACAGTGGACTGGATCTCGGGGTTGGGTTTCTTGTGGAAGGTTTCTTGCGGACTGGCCCCCACTGTAGCCTTCACCCTGCCAAGCTCCAGACCTTCCAAATGTCATGGGCAACGATCGTCGACGAAGAGTTGAAGCAAATAGTCTGGGACGATGCCTCGTGCTATGTTTGGACTCTTTTTGAGTCTCTTTGACTTTTTGTTCGTCCAAAATCCGCGTGTAGGAGGGCATGCCCGACCTAATGCCAAGTGGGCGTTTTCGTTCGACATTGGGCGGAAAAGGGGGGGAATGGGGGTGGTCTGGCTCCTGACCTCTGCTCTTAGCGCGACGGTTTGCAACAGTGCGTCCTGTGGGGGAGGCTCCACCTGCTCGAGACAGGCGCCAAAAACAACCGAGTTCTACTCCATGGGGGGGGGGAGGGGGGGTACACATTTTTCATATCTAATTCTTCGAGAGTTCATTGTTTTTTTTTGGGGTGGGCAAGATCCCTTCATTTCTAATTGTTCTGTCCTGGGCCTCTTCCTGACCACTAGGGGGCCAGAAGGAATTAGAAACGAGCAGAATTAGAAACGAGCACGATTAGAATTGAACGACGTGCTCGAGGGCCCGCGCCGAGCGGCGAAACAGTGGACAGGACAACGGCCACCGGCTCGACCCGCTTCCCCCCCCCCCGCCTGCCGCACCTCCGCGGCCGCTCCCCGTGCGGGGCCCGCCCGCCTTTCCCTGCGGCGGTGGCCCCACGGCGTCGCGCCCCCCGTTCTCGCGCGACGCCGTGGCGCGTCCGCTGCCGCAGGCCGGTCGGGCGTGGGCCTCCTCCTCCTCCCTCTTGTCCTCCTCCTCCCTCCTCCCTCCTCCCTCCTCCCTCCTCCTCCTCCTCCCCCTCCTCCTTCTCCTCCTCCTCCTCCCTGTTCTCCTCCTCCTCCTCCTCCTCCTCCTCCTCCTCCTCCTCCTCCTCCCTCTTCTCCTCGCCTTCCTCCTCTTCCTCTTTCACCTCCTCCTTTTTTGTTTGTTTGTTTGTTTCTCTCGGCCTGGCATCGGTCGGGCACGGGCCTAAGCCAGGCCTGTCCCTCTACAGGGGGAATATGCAAAAGCAGGCAACAAAACAGTCTGGGGACGATCTGTTGGGGGGTATCGCTGGGCAGGCATCTGTTGAGCACTCTTGGGGGTGTCTGTCTTTCTGTCTTTCGTCCAAGATCCGCCTGTAGGGGGACATGCCCGACCTAAGCGTGGGCCTTTTCTTTCCCCGGCGAGGGCCCTCGAGGAGCAGCTTGGATCCCCGCGCGAGAGAACAGAGACGCACGAAGTCGAACAAGGCAGGCACGGGTAGCACGGCGGACGTCCGAGCGATGGCAAGTCACGTGCCCAGCTTCAGCCTCGGGAGCACGTCGTGCCCCCCAGCCTCGATGTGCAACACCGACCCTGCGCCTTCCACTTTCCCCTCCCCTCCCCCCCTGCCATTCCCTCCGAGACCCCGCGCCCTCCCCCTCTCGTCGCCTCACCTCCCATCGCCCTCGTTGATCTCCCCTCACCGTTCTCCTCTGTCTCTGTCTCTCACTCTCTCTCTCTCTCTCTCTCCTCTGTCCCCCCCCCGCCATCCCTCCGAGATCCCGCCCCCTCCCCCTCTCATCTCCTCACCTCCCATCGCCCTCGTGCCGTCACCCGACGGTTAAAGGAGTTTCGGTGACGGCAGATAGCTTTGCCTTCGAGTGATCTTGATGGCAGGGAATGGTCCAGGTTTAAGAAATGACCTCACCGCACTGTTCTCCTCTGTCTCTCTCTCTCTCTCTCTTTCTCTCTCTCTCTCTCTCTCTCTTCCTCTCTCTCTTCTTCTCCGCGCTGCGGCTCGTCTTCTGCAAGTGCCCTTCCCTATGAGAGGCGATATTGCCAGCTTGCCGACACAGTGCCGGAGACCAATTCAGAGGATTCCATTTGCGAGGTATCCTGTTAGGTAGTTTCGATTGACAGTGAAGCTCGTGAGCAGCTTTACGAGCCCTCGTGCGCAATTAGTTCCTTCTTAGCTACCTGGAATTGTTGTGTCTTTTTCAGGGCATCGTTGAAGACATGCCTGGGCGTGCTGACGCATTCGTTGAAAACCACTAGTGTCAGTTTCACGCGCATCTGCGCTTCGTAGGACCAGCTCCAAGGAGCGACGGGAATCGCGCGGTCGAGTAGGTGCGGGCAGCTGATCAAAGGGAAGGACGAGTGGAAGATTGCAGAGGACATCCACGAGACAACATGATTGGACGAGGGCATGCCATGGGAGAGCAAAGAGGCTTGACAAGGGTGTTGGGGTTTGAAGGTGTGCTCAGCAATGGAATGCACAAGGATTACAAGCACAATTAGTTGATGCACGTTGTCATGCCAACAGGACTGTTACGGGGAGACGGTCGACAGCAAAGAGCATACTTTATTTAGCAAAGAGCTCGAGCAGGAAGGGGAGGGCGGAGTGACTTGACGGCAAACCGAGCGCGCGAAGGCCCTGGCAGCTGTTGGCCGTTGCCGTCGGCAAGACAAAACCCGCGCGCGCGGCGCACGATACTAAGAGCTGCGATTTGTTTTCGTGTGTCGGCTATGCGCGAGGAGGCCATCCGTCATGAACAAGGGGCGCCGCTATCGGGCGACGTCTCAGCTTGATTCTTCCGCCGAAGGAACAGGAGGGAAGAGGAGGAGGCGGAGGAGGATGAGGACAAGGAGGAGGACGATGAGGAGAAGGAGGGCTTGAGCAAAACCCAGGTTGCATCAGCGGTGCTGCAATACAACCTCCCATCAAAAGTCCCCTCATCATGGCGGTAAGCCTCCCACCTTGCAAGACAAGAGCCCCATGGGCCTACCGTTCAAGCGACGGCACCGTCTTGAAAGGGAACCGCCCTCCATGTCCGGATGCCTGCGGCAGTTCTCGCCGCTGCTCCGCGGACCCGCCTCAGGCAAGAGCGGGAGGCGCCGCCTGCCATTATTACAGGCGTGGCTGCCCGACCTCCCCCCCGCCTCGGCGCAGACGATGCGGGCCCGCGGCGGGCAGGGGCGGCGGCCGGCGGCGGTAGAACCCCACGGGAGGAGTCTCCCATGGATTTCCTGAGGGGTCCGGTGGCTTCCCTGCAGGAATCCGAGGGATGTCCCGAGGAGTCCTCCCTGGATTTCCCAGGGGTGCCCCTGGATTTCACAAGGAGTCCTCTCTGGATTCCCGAGGGATTCCTACGGATTTCATAAGGAATCCTGTGAATTTCGTAAGGGATCCGCTGGATTTCCCGAAGAATCCAATGGATTTCCGAAGGCCCGTCTGCGTTGGCGCGCGCGCCCTGGCGCCCAGCGACGAGAGGCCGGCGACCTGGGGCGTCCACCTGCGGCGGCCCAAAAAGGAGCGAGGGCTACGAAGAGGTTGCCAACAGCTTGTGCCCAGTGCTTTCCCCAGCGCAGTGGGATCACCTCAAGCATAGGCCGTTTGAGGAGGCTGGCACGCAGTCCGTGACATTGGCTTCTGCTTCTTGAGGCCTGGAAAGAACAGGAGAAGTTGTCAGCAGCTCGAGCAGGCTTCAGACACGAAGTGTCACGGGAGTGCTACGGGGGGGGGGGGCTTCTGGACACGCTTGGTCGCTCGCCTGGGGCGGCGCCCAAGGGCAAGCGGGCAATCGGACCTGATGAGGAGGGGCGTTCCAGGCGGTCTGCGCCCGTCGCACGTGGGTGGAGCTCGTGCTTTCCGACGTGCTGGTCGGAGCTCGATTCCCACCCCCAGTGGGCCAATGAGGCTCAGTGGGATCAGGGTGGAGCTCGCATCCCACCTCCAATGGGCCACTGCGGCTCTTGGAAATAAGCCGATACACGCATCTCGCCTCCAGTGGGCCAATGCGGATCGTGAAAGTACTGGGCCATGGACCTGGCACGACTCGGGGTAGAACACGAGGCACTGAACGTCCCACACATGGTCGTCAGGGTCGGGCTGTTGCTCCTGATCGTGCTGTTCACCGGTTCGCGGCTGGTGCCGGTCATGGTGGTCTGCGACGCGATTCTCGCTTTGGTACGCCCCAGGCAGGTCAACGGCGCAGTACTCGCGGCAGTGCCCGTCCCGCTGATGCACGATGAGGCGACGGTGCGCCCAGTCGTGCTGTTTGGCGGTGTGCTGCTGGCACCGGCAGTGGTGGTCAGCGACGTATTGCTCAACGTCGAGAGTCGATTCGATAGGGGAGCGCTCACATCGCTCGTGGTCGTCGGGGTCGAGGTGCTGCTCCATGGTGTGCTACTCAACGGCATGATGCAAGCGGCCGCACGCTTCCCACTCGTGGGCGTCGGAGTCGAACTGGTACTCAGTGGGTCAATGCGGCTCTTGACAATAGGCGGCTGCGCACATACCACCCTCAGTTGTCCAACGCGGATCGTGGAAGTACAGGGCCATGGACTCAGTAGGGCTCGGGGCAGAGCTTAAGGCGGTGAGCGCCACACACGTGGTCAGCGTAGACGTGAGCCTGCTGGTGCTGGACCCCGTCGTGCTGCTCAGCGTCGTGGTGCTCGACCCCGTCGTGCTGCTCAATGTCGACGTGCTGGTCCCAGACGTGCTGCTCGAAGACGTGGTGCTTGTTGCACTGCTCGTCTCACTCGTCATGAGGCTGGTGCTGGATCCCGTAGCGCTGCTCAATATCATGGTGCTCGGCTCCGTTTTTCTGTCCAACGTGTATGTGAGGCTGCTGGTGCTGGATCCGATCCTGCTCCTCAACGTCCTTGTGCTCACTCCGTCGTGCTGCTCATTGTCGAGGTGCTGCTCACCATCGTGTTGCTCGATTCCGTCGTGATGGATCCCGTTGTGCTGTTGAACGTTGTTGTGCTCGATTCCGTCGCGCTATCAAGAGTGTAGGCGCTGCTGCCGGACGTGCAGCTCAAAGACGTGCAGCTCGTTGCATTGCCCATCCCGCTCGCAGATGCGAGGCTGCTGGTGCTGGATCCCGTCGCGCTGCTCGGCACCATGGTGCTCGACTCCGTGGTGCTGCTCAACATCGTGGGTCTCGGCCCGCTTATGCTGGGCCCCGTCGTGCTACTCATCGTCGCGGTGCTCGACTTCTCCACTCTGCCCAGCGTCGACGACCTGGCCCGGATGTGCTGCTCAAAGACGTGGTGCTCGGTGCACTCCTCGTTTCGGTCGTATGTGTGAGACTGCTGGTGCTGGATCTCGTCGCGCTGATCGACGTCGCGGTGCTCGACCCCGTCGAGTTAGTTGCTCAGCGTCGTGGTGCTCGACTCTGTCGCACTGGATCCGGTCGCAGCGCTCAACATCGTGGTGTTTGAAGGGGACGGCAGGAACAGGATGAAAGGGGATGATGCAGGAGTGGGGAAGAAGGAGCAGGAAAGGGGATGATGATGATGATGATGATGATGATGATGATGATGATGATGATGATGATGCTGATGCTGATGATGATGATGATGATGATGATGGTGCTGATGATGATGATGATGATGATGATGACGTTGATCATGATGATGCTGACCATGATGATGATCATGACGATGATGATACTGATGATGATGACGATGCTGATGATGATGCTGCTGATGATGATGACGATAATGGTGATGATGACGATCATGATGATCATCATGATCATGATGGTAATGACGACGATGATGGTCATGATGAGGATGATGATGCAGATGAGGTTGATGCTTCTGATGATGTTGATGATGATGGTGATGATGATGATGTTGGTGGTGATGATGAGGAGGAGGATACATGATGCATATGGTGATGATGATGACGAGGATGATGAAGAGGGTGATGATGGTGGTGCTGATGATGGTGATGCTGATGATGAAGATGCTCATGATGAGGATTATGATGACGACGATGCTGCTGATGATAATGATGATGCTGACGACGATGATGATGATGATGATGATGATGATGGTGATGATGATGATGATGATGATGATGATGATGATGATGATGATGATGATGATGATGGTGGTGGTGATGATGATAATGATGATGCTGGTTATTGTGGTTATGATTAGGGCGCTGATGAATGCTGATGGTGATGATGATCCTGATGATGATGATGATGATGAGGAGGAGGAGAAGGAGGAGGAGGAGGAGAAGGATGATGATGAGGATGATGAGAGGAGGAGAAGGATGAGGATGAGGAGGTGGAGGAGAAGGACGAGGAGGAGGAGGATGAGGAGGAGGAGGAGGTGGTGGAGAAGGAGGAGGAGGAGGAGGAGCAGTAGCGTGAGCACGAGCAGGAGGCGGAGGATGTGGATAAGGACGCGGATGACGATCGATGAGGATGACATGAGGATGAGGATGAGGGGGATGGGGAGGGGAAGGGGGAAGGAGATGAAGCAGGACGGGATTGGGGGTAGAGGGGGGGACGAGGGAGAGGAGGGAAGGGTTAGAGGAGAAATGTGAGATAGGATGGGGGGGGGTAGAGGGAGGACAGCGGAGGAGCAAGATGAGTAGGAGGAGGACTGACACATAGGTTGGTTTAAGAAATGGTAGCTGAGTGTGCGTTGCTTCCTTCGCTCGCCTCTCATCCCCCTCCCCGCCTCTTCTTGCTTTTCGTCTTCTGTCGCCTAAGTCGTGTTCCCCTTCTCGCGCCTCACGGGCTACCACCTCCTCTCACCGAGCTCGTGGTAGTTGAGCTTGCCACAGACGCTACAGAACCGCATGAGGCTTCGACGACTTGTCTTGCTGGCAGTGTGTTGTGCACGCCTCTTCAGTGCTGCCGTGCTCGCTCTAACACAGACGTGGTCGCACACCCACGATGCCTGCAGCTGTGAGTCTCGTGAATGCCAATCCCATGATACGCTAAACCTCGTGGCCTATCGCTCGCGGGCGTTGCGGAAATGCAGAAACTTGTAGCGGTGGATCTGAAAGCTACGTCGGCACTGACTGACACGAAACAGACCGATCTCTTGCGAGTTCGCACCATTTCGTAGCGCATACCAGCGGATCCCAGACTGGCTCCGACGTATCGCTGCCGCTTCGCAAACGCCGGGATCCGTAAGCAAGCATTGGTGCACTGTCGTGCTGTTGACCGTTATGTATCGGGAGGTTTGCCACGGCAAGGCATCAGTACACTTGTTTTGCGCGTGTTCGCTCTGCTGCGTGTCACATCCTCACCAGGCGCACGCCTCGCCGACGTGGCATTTTCTCATTGCGTTGGCTCTGGGGTTTTCAGCTTCACGCAGCAAGGCGGCCTCGCATGCATGCGCAAGCCCAGTCGGGCCTCGCCGCTCCAGGCACGCCTCTTCTGCTGCACGCCGTGACCTCGTCCGCCGTCTCGCGTGCGCCTATTCTCTGTCGGCATGCGTCTGCTCGTGGATGCCACATGGGACCTGCGTGCGAGGAGGAGGAGGAGGAGGAGGTGACTGCCATGAGCCATGAGTGGCGGCTGCGCCTGGCTGCGCCCCCCGCCCGCGCTCGCGATCGACGGCTTCAATATATGTGGATGCGAGCGGGGGTTCCCCTGGGCGCGCCCAGCGCTCTTCGGTGGGTTCTGCCCCGTGATTCCTCCCCCCCCCTTCCCTCAGCAGGAGGAGGAGGAGGAGCAGGAGGAGGAGGAGGAGGGGGAGGAGGGGGAGGTGCTCGCGACGTTTTGTTGACGACAGGAAGAGGCCCCACGCGACAGGGCAGCCCGGACTTTGCACGCGAACGCGGGGCTCGCTTCGATGCCTCCGATTCGATTCGACTCGATTTCGATGGCCTGCGGTCTCCGATTCGGCTTGACTTCGGATTCCGATTTGGACTCCGATTCCTCAACGGAGGCCTATTAGCCTGCCGATTTCTGCCGATTCGACTTCTCCCGACTTGGCTGCCTCCCGAGCCCCCCCCCCCGGCGGGAGCAGGGCTCGGCATCTCGTCGACTAGAGGGGCGGAGGTAGGAGAAACGCGCCCTCGCTGGACGAGTGTGGGGGAACGTGGTGAGGACGGGGGAAGGGCCAGAGGAGGAGGAGGGAGGAGGAGGAGGAGGAGGAGGAGGAGAAGGAGAAGGAGGAGGAGGAAGAGGAGGAGGATGAGAAGGAGGAGAGGAAGGGGGAGGGCCAGAGGAAGAGGAAGAGGATGGGAAGGAGGAGGGCAGGATGAGAAGGAGGACGAGGGTACCAGAATCGACAGCACCACTGACACTGTTTACCTAATCGTCCGTGGTGTTCGCGAAGATTTCTGCGCCAGTCATCAGATGTTCGAGAATTGCTTAATCGGCGTGCAATCGACACCTATACGGCGGCGGCATTGGAGAAGGAACGTCTTCCTGGGGGCCCAGACCCTGGCGCATTCCTTCTTGTTTCAAGGCGAGGTGGGTGGTCCACGTTTGGCCGCCCATCGGTCGCGAGACCCTGGGTTCCTTATCGAAGGCATCCTTACCTAAAACCTCCACCGTATTGGTAAGCCCCATAGTTGGAACACGTAGTACACCTGGAGCGCAAGGTGGGTGCTGTTCGAAGCTGCGCGCTGCAGGTCTGGGGGTCCTGCGACCGATCTCGCCACAGTGCCTGGGACGTGGACAAGGGGCCTCTTAGGAGAGGGTCTCTCGTGAGGCCTCGAGGCCTCTCGAAAGCCTCTTGGAGGCCTCTTGGCGGCCTCTTGGGGCCTCTTGGACGCTCTTTGGGGGCCTCTGGGGCACCTTGAGGGCCCGCCGGCAGTCTCGGGGGCCAGTTTTGCGGGAAAGGGCTCGACGTGTCAGTTCATGCTCCCCTTCTTGAGGCCGTCTTGGGGGCCTCTTGGTCCGTCGCGGAGGCCCTAAAGACCGAGAACGCGAGCATGTTTAAATGACGCGCGGGCTTGTTTTGGGGTGTGTACTGACTTTTGCCTTTTGGAGTTACCTCCAGGGCTTCCAAGACGGCCCAAGAGGCGACAAGGGGGCTCCGGGACTGCATTCGACACCACGCTCCCAAGGTCTTCAGACAAATCTCGTGAGAAGCCCTGTAAGCGTTTGGAAGTGCCCAAGAGCGCCCAGAAATCCAGGCCCTGGGATCTTTCGAAGGGGCTTGAGAACACTCGACCGAGTGACTACGCCACGGTGGCGGATCTTCGCTTGCAGGATCGGTTGAGAGAGTGGAGCTTACGGCAGTCGTCATCGTTTCTCGAAGAAAACAAGGTCTACAATATGAAGAGAGACGGTACGAGGACAAGAAGGAAAGTGATGACACATATGGATCGGATAGAGGGAAGTACGCGAGCAGTTGGGCAGATGATTCTTGCACGTAGAGCGCGATGGCGTTTCTCACGATGACGGACGGTTATTTGCCACATGGTTCATCTCGCCGTTTGCATAAAACACTGCGCAAACCAACACTAAGACGTGTGAGTGTTTGGATGGAGGCGAAGAGAATTGGAATGAAAAGCTACAGACATACAGCGGCGTTGCAGATAAGCGCCCTTGGCGGCGTAGTTCCTTCGCAATCGGGAAGCTCACCAGGCAATTGTTGTTTTCGCGGGGGGGGGAATGTGTGGAGGAGCGCCACTGGCAGACCATGTCAGCAATGGAGTCGCGCGGAAGGAGGCGAGGGCTCGCTGGGAAGCGACTGGCCGCTCAGGGATGGGCGTCAAGGGTCTGCTCAAGGCGCTCTCGGACATCCAGCACGACGCTTGCGCGTCTGACTACAGAGGCGCGTTCGTACTCCGGCAGTCGCCCTGTCGTCCCTCTTCCCCCTCCTCGTCGTCCTCCCTACTCTGTCCTCCTCCCTGCCTCCTTCCTGCCTTCTCTCCGTCCCCCTTGCTTCCCTGTCTCCTTCCACCCCGACCCTCCGTTGCGGCGCCTTCCTCTTCTCATGATCTGTTCCCGGCTCGGTCCTACGCCTGGTCGTTGGTCACTTTCTTGGTTCGGTTTTGTTCCCTTATCTCCAGTCGCTTGCATCTTCTGTCACTAGCTTCTTGCATTATTAGGGTTGCACCTGCCAGGACGTTTCAAGCGATAGCTCGATCGAATTAACGAGCCACCATGCAAGCTTCATGAACATACACCTGTCAGGAAGTCTCACTCGAGAACCCGATGGTTGAAAACATCCGTCGTCCATCTCTGTGGCCGATGGAGATGTAAAGTGCTTAGGAGTGCCAGTGACGGGTACTTTTTGGGCGAGAGCGCGATATCGAAAGGAACCCGTGAACACGCCCTCCATCCTTTTAACCGTTGGGCATGCTGCAGTTTCGGGCTCGTAATCTGTGAGGAAGTCTGAGGCGGAACGCTCGGAACGTCAGGCTGCACGTCTGGATGTGCGACGAGGAGGATTTGTTCCCTACCTAGGCTCTGCCTAGAGGGTTCTTACTCTATTAGCTTAAAGTGGCCGGGCAGTGTTCCTCGCCCCGGGCGGTTCCCCCGGTCCCCGCCCCGCGGTTCCCCCAGCTGCGCCCCCTTACCTTAGCTTTACGTATCTCATCTTAGCTTAGGTTAACTTAGCTTAGCTTAGCTTCATCTTAGCTTCGCTCAGCTGTAGCTTAGCCTAGCCTAGCCTAGCTTAGCTTAGCTTAGCTTAGCTTAGCCTAGCCTAGCCTAGCCTAGCTTAGTTTAGCTTAGCTCAGCTTAGCTCAGCTTAACTTAGCTTAGCGCAGCGCAGCTTTAGCATAGCATAGCATAGCATAGCATAGCATATCATAGCATATCATAGCATAGCATAGCATAGCGCAGCATATCATAGCGCAGCATATACAATTTCGTAGGAACGTTCGGTGTAGCAAGTGTTGCACAACCTTGCTCAATGCCAAGTCGTGCGGTGTGGACCGGATACGGAGCATTCTCAAGCACACCCGGTGAGCGAATGCGAGAACATGCTTGCGTGTGTGTCTGTGCGCAGGCAAAGCAAAACCAGCATCAAGCAAAAGCAACAGCAAAAGCAAATCAAAAGCAACAGCAAAAGCAAATCAAAAGCAAAGGCAAGGCAATGCAAAGCAAACGCAAAACCAATGCGAAAGTGTAGATGTAGATGTAGGTGTAGGTGTAGATGTGGATGTAGGTGTAGATGTAGATGTAGGTGTAGATGTAGGTGTAGGTGTAGGTGTAGATGGAGATGTAGATGTGAGTCTCGCTGTTGATGTGGATGTAGATGTAGATGCAGGTGTAGATGTTAATGTAGCTGTCGGTGTAGATGTAGATGTTGCTTCCCTAGACGCCCCAACTCCTAGGTAGGGTCGCACTGGGACAATTTACAAAACAGGGGAGGGGATGCGGACGTGGAGATTGGAGAGAGATGGGAGCTATTCGAGGCAAGCTCCTTGGTGCATTTGTGCTTGTGCGTTCCGCTGCCCAGATCTGACGGCTGCGACAGTGGCCCTTGCGGTGATGATCGGTGTGTTGCGTCTGCGTGTGCGTGTGAGTGTGTGTCTGTGTGTGTGTTGATCATTGCCTCTCCCTTTTGGGGCCTCCTGCTTCTCCGTGCTTCAAGTGGTGCCTCAGCCTGCACTCTTTTCCTGCGTTGCTTGCCTCAACCTGCCCCTCATTTGGGACAACAGTTGCTGCTTAAGCTCGCTTCCCATCATACGCAATTGTGCAGTTCATTGCTCGTATCCCGAGTTGTGTTGACACACGCATCAGCGGAGGGAAAAGTGCGTGTGTGTGTGCGTGTGTGTGTGCGTGTGTGTATGTGTATGTGTGTATGTATATGTGTATGTGCGTGTTTGTGTTTGTGTTTGTGCTTGTGTTCGCGTTTGTGTTTGTGTGTGTGCGGCACGTTCTTCCGTGTCCTGGCCGTTGCCGTTTCCTCCGCTGCCTGGCCGTGCTCGGTTCTGGGGCGCCCGTCCAGCTGTCTTCCTCCGGTAGTCGTGTGTCCACCTCGCGGGAAGGGTGCAGCTTCCTCGCTTGACGGAGCACCTTCAAGATGCCCGCGTGTTCCCCGAAGGCTTTCCAAACCGATTCGGGGAGCACATGGTCCGATAGCTTGGCAGGTCTGGCCTCAACGTTCGGCCACATAGGCGCTTCTACAAAGGCAGGGGGCGGCGGTGATTCGCCGTAGGCGTCTTCGATCCCGCCACCGTGTCTGGGTTGTGGGTCTGCGGCCTCCTGTATATGTGCTGGGGTGTCGTGGGGACCCTCTCAGGGGCCTCTCGGATGCAGTTTCGGCGCCTCTTGGGGCCTCGTGGGTATCCTTTGGGCCTTTTGGAGGCCTCTTTGGCGCGTCGTGGGCGCCTCTTGGAGCCTCTCGGGGCCTCCTGGGGGCTTCTCGGGGCGCTTCTTGGGCCATCTTGGATCCGTCTTGGAGCCCTCTTGGAAGCGTCTTGGGCTGTCTTGGGGCGGTCTTGGGAGCTTCTTGAGCCATCTTGGAGCGTCGGAAAACCGAAAATGCGACAACCCCAACATCCTTCAAAAACCTTGTGTAACATCGACGATGCTGGCCTCTTGGGGCTCTCTCGGGAGGCCTCTTGGAGCGCTCTTGGGGCCTCTTGGGGCCCTCTTGAGCCGTCTTGGAACCATCTTTGGGCGCCTTGGAGCTGAGCCTCGGCAGTACGAACACGATGTAATTTGCGAGGGTTCGCGGCCGCGTGGACGGGGTATGCAAGAATTGAGCAATGTGCTAGGGTTTGTGGCTTCGGAGACGCGAACATGGTATAAGTTTCAATGGATTCTGGCTTCGGGGACGTGGATCTTGATCAATTTGCGCAAGGTCTGTGGCCTCGGGGACGCGAATATTGCTGCTTAATTTGCTTAGGATTCGGGCTTCGGGGACGCGGACATCGCGTAATTTAGGAGGGTTTGCTGCCTCGGGGACGCAGCACGTTAGTAATTTTCTTTGGTTTGTTGCCGCGGGGACGCAAGAGTTGTATATTTTACGAAAATTAATGGCTTTGGGGACGCGAGTATTGAGTGATTTGCAAGGGTTGTTGGCCCCGGGGGCGCGAATATTGTAATTTGCTATGGATTATGGGTTCGGCGCGAGCGCGGCGTAATTGACGTGTGATCGTGGCCGGGTGCGCAATTGTGGTGCAATTATGGGGGATCGTGGCCCCACAGGCGCGAATGTAGAGTAATATGCATGAGATCGTAGCCTCGCGGGCGCGAATATGGCGTACTTGATGAGGGATCGTTGTTTCGGGGACGCGAATGTGCGCAATTTGCGGAGGCTCGTGGTGGCCCCAGAGGCGTGAATTTTGTGTAACTGCCAAGGGATCGTGGCCTCAGGGGCGCGAATGCGATGTAATTTCAAAGGGATCGTGGCCTCGGAGGCGTGAACGCGGCGCAATTTACGATGGATCGTGCCCTCGGGGGCGCGAACGTGGGGCAATTTACGGGGGCTCGTGGCCTCGGGGGCGCGAGCGTGGCGCAATTTACGAGGGCTCGTGGCTTCGACGGCACAAGTGTTGTGCGCAATGTGCATGGGATCGTGGCCCCAGAGGCGCGAATGTGGAGTAATGTGCGGGAGATCGTGGCGTGGGGGGCGCGAACACGGTGTAATTTACGAGGGATTATTGCGTCGGGAGCGCGAATCTCATGTATTTTGAAATGTCCCACGGCCCCGCGGGAATTCAGAGCACGCGACTCGGGGGTGGTAACTGGGCCCTTTTCGGCTCCCCTCCCACGCGCGGACTTCAACAATTTTCAATCGGAAGCAGGGAGCAGGACGGTAACATGGAAACTGGAAACAAGAACTGGCGTAGGGAGCAGCAAGCCTTATCTTCGCAGCCTGATGGCCCCACAAGCGGGCCGGCCGATTTTTTGTCTTCCGATTGCCATCGCCAGATGGAGACCGTGAGGGTGCCGCACGACTCGCTGCCGAGGAAAGAAACGCGTGTATACATATACATATATATATATATATATATATATATATATATATATATATATATATTCTTTCTACCTGTGAAATTACAAAGAAAAGCCCAGCATGTCTCACTCACCCCCCCCGGGCACCCGCACACGAATCCCAGACCCCCTCCCTGGCGCCTCGAAGAGGCCTCAAGACGGCCCAAGAGGACTCCAAGACGCAGCAGGCTCCCAAGATCGTCCAAGAGGGCCCCGAGACGCACAAAGATCGCTCCACGACACCCAAGATAGTCCCAATATGGCCCAAGACGCCTCCAAGACGCCCCAAGAGGCGTCCAGGAGGCTTCCCAAGAGGGCCCCAAGAGGCAAAAATTGTTGGTTATTTCACATGTTTTTGAAGGTTTCTTTGGGTCTCGCCTTTTCAGCTTCCCGACGCTCCAAGACAGCCCAAGAGGCCCAAAAGATCGCCCCAAGACCGCCCAAGAGGACCCGAAACAGCACCAAGACGGCCCAAACGGGCCTCAAGACAGCCCAAGGGGCTTCTAAGACGGCCCAAAAGGGCCCCAAGACGGCTTCAAGAGAGAGAGCCCAGACGGGGGATCCGAACGGACTTTTCAGGCTTTGGCCCCAAGAGGCCCCCAGGAGGCGCCAAGAAACGCCCTGGAGGCCCCCAAGAGGTTCCCAGAGGCCCCCACGAGACTCCCAAGAAGCCCCCGAGCGGTCCCCAAGAGCCCCCCAAATGGCCCCCAACAGGCACTGAACCGGGCCCCAAGAGGCTTCCGAAATGCTTCCAGGAGCCCCCCAAGAGACCTGCCCCCAAGATCCTCCAAGAGAGCCACGAGACGCACAAAGATCGCCCCACGACGCCCAAGACAGTGCCAATACGGCCCAAGACGCCTCCAAGACGCCCCAAGAGGCGTCCAAGAGGCTTCCCTAGAGGGCCCCAAGAGGAAAAAAACGTTGCTTTATTTATTTTCGTTCTGGAAGGTTTCTTTGGGTCTCGCCTTTTCGGCTTCCCGACGCTCCAAGACAGCCCAAGAGGTTCCCAAGATCGCCCCAAGATCGCCCAAGAAACTCTCGAAACATCCCCAAGACGGCCCAAACGGGCACCAAGACAGCCCCAGAGGCTTCCAAAACGGCCCAAAAGGGCCCCAAGACGGCTGTAAGAGAGAGCCCAGACGCGGGATCCGAACGGACTTTTCGGGCCCTCGGCCCCAAGAGGGGGCCCCAAGAAAGGCCCTGGAGGTCACCAAGAGGCTCCCAGAGGCCCCCACGAGCTCCCCAAGAAGTTCCCGAGCGGTCCGGCAAGAGCCCCCCAAACGGCCCCCAACAGGCACCGAACCAGGCCCCAAGAGGCTTCCAAAATTCTTCCAGGAGGCCCCCAAGAGACCTGCCACGAGCTCCGAACGAACAGTCCAGATGCTCCCATGCGGAGCCCCGGACGCCTCCAGGACAGCTTCAAGCGCGCTCCAAGGCTTTCCAAGATGGCTCCAAAACGACCCCGGATGGCCAGTTGTCGTCGCCGAGTTCGTTCGTCGTCGTAGTCGTCGTCGTCGTCGTCGTCGTCGTCGTCGTCGTCGTCGTCGCCGCCGTCGTCGTCGTCGAGTTCGTTCGTCGTCGTCGTCGTCGTCGTCGTCGTCGTCGTCGTCGTCGTCGTCGTCGTCGTCGTCGTCGTCCCAAAACGGCCCTAGAGGCCTCCTGGACAGCCCAAGAGGGCGCCTAGATGACCAGAAGAGGGCCCCAAGCGGATCCCCAATCAGGCCTACAGAGGCCAACTTCATCCTTTTCCCACTGCTTCAGCTTTATTACCTTTCCTGTCACGAGTCTCTGAAGAGATTCCCAAGAAAGACCCAGAAGGTTCCAATGTCACTCTCGACACAAACTCTTCGGAAATCTCCTCCCCTCCTCCCCCTCCTCCTCCTCCTCCTCCTTCTCCTCCTCCTCCTCCTCCTCCTCATCATCATCATCATCATCATCATCATCATCATCATCATCATCATCCTTTTTTCCTTGTCGTTCTTCTCCACCTCTTTTTCTCCTCCTCCTCCTCCTCCTCCTCCTCCCCTCCTCCTCCTCCTCCTCCTCCTCCTCCTTTTCTGCTCCTCCTCCTGCTCCTGCTCATGCTTCTCTTCTCTCTGCTTCCCCTCTGCCCCTCCCTTCTCCCCCTCCTCCCTCTGCTCCTCCTTCTCCGCCCCCTCCTCCGCCTCCTCCTCCTCCTGCTCTTCCTCCTCCTGCTCCTCTTACTCATCCTGTAGTTCGTTGTCTTCTTACTCCGCTGCCTTCTAAAAGGCCCCAGACCAGAGACTGTTATCACCAGCCCCCCAGAGACACCCAAGGGTCCCAGGACAAACCAAGGGGGCCCCAAAGAGGGCCCACGACAGGCAGTCAGGGTCTGGTGAACCACAATTCGATACCCAGTTTTCCTTTCGTCTCAGGAGCCCACAGAAATCTCGAGAGGACCTAAAACATACCCCAGACCCTACACCGCTGTCACCAGCTCCCTACAAGCACCCACGAGACTCCTGGACGGTCCAAGAGGACCCCACCATGGGCCTACGACAAGGCTTCCTCCTGCTCGTCCTCCTCCTGCTCCTCTTCCTCCTCCTGCAGTTCGTTGTCTTCCTCCTCCGCTGCCTTCTGAAAGGCCCCAAACCAGAGACTGTCATCCAAGCTCCCCAGAGACACCGAGGGGCCCCAAGACACACTTGGGGGGCCCCAAAGAGATCCCACGACATGCTTCCAGGGTCCGGGGAACCACAATTTGATGCTGGGTTTTCTTGTCGCCCCGGGAGCCCACCGCCTCCTCCCCACAGCCCACGGCTAAGAAGACGACGACAACCACGACGACGACGACGACAACATCGGCGACGACGACGACGATTTGGACCGCAGCGTCACCAGAGACAATTCGGTGCAAGGATCAAGATTAGAAGGCGAAGCGCAACGAGCCTTCAAATCTTGTGTGTATGTGTGTATATATATACAGATAGACATGTGTGTGTCGGGAGCTCATATTGTCCCACTTCAGGGCAGGATTTGCATTTCAGCCTGGCACCTGGGATACATGGGCTCCGGCTGGTTCGCCAGCTTTTGTGTCGCATTTCCAGGTTAGGAGGCGTGGGTATGGCTGTCCCTGTCACGTGTGTCGTGCCGATCTGCGTCTGTCGTCCCGTGATGGGCTGTATGTGACTTGCTGGCTTGCACGGTTAGGCGCCATCCCAGTCTTCATTTGCTTGGGGAGGCACGCAGGTTCATTACTTGCTACTCACGAGCTCTGCTCGAGCTGCTGGAGCGCATGCTTGACTGACTGGAAGTACAGTCTCGGGCAATCGCAGCCGAAGCCTTACTGGGTGCCCCACTTTGTATGACCATCCACTTTACACGGTAGTGCATGGCGCTGTATTGCAATTGTGTGAGGTTGAGTTCCACTGCATGCAGTATAGGAGATCTGGATCGATACCGCGTGGGAAGATCATTTCCTGTTCGTGCGGGCGTTGGGCTTCCGCATCTTTGAAGGTTGAACTTCAATTTCCTTGTGTACTTTATTGTTTTGTGTGGCATTCTGGTACACCCGTCCACCGCAGTGGTGCCTGGACGAAGTGCGCTTTCGCTTGTGAAGAAGCGTTTGTGTGTGCCCTCGATGGTGAGCAAATGTGTGCATGTGTATGTGTGTGCGTGTATGTGCGTGTCTGTGTGTGTTTGTGTGCGTGTGCTGCTTGTCCCGCGTGTGTGTTCCCATTGCGGCGTCGGTCAGTGAATTGTGTGCGTACGTGTGTGTGGCTTGTGTGCGTGAGCTGCTTGACCCGCGGTTGTCATCCCATTGCGGCGTCGGAATGTAAATTGTGTGTGAGAGTGTATGTGTGTGTGAGTGTGTGGGCGTGTGTTTGCGAGCTTTGCAGGCTCCACCCCTTCCTTCTCACCCGCCCTGGTGCTGAGGCCCCCCCCGCCCGGTCCACGCTTCCACCCGCTGGCTCCGCTCCGCCGCTGCCCCCCGCTTCTCGAGGCCTGAGGATGGGGATCGACGCGTCGTGCTTCCTGCACCGTGGTGTGCACGGCTGTGGCGAGGACCGGCTTCGCTGAGGGGGAGGAGGGGGAGGAGGAGGACGAGGAGGAGGAGGACCAGAGTCGTCAACGATGTTGGAATAAACCATCCCTCTGAGCTCCCTCTTCATAGGCCCCTGCAGCGGTTCATTTCCGTTGGGGGCACTGTCTCGTTGGAACACAACCGCTTGAAGACTCTGAAGCATACTAAAACATTATTCTCGGGATTCCAACGCCACGGATCAACCTGCCTGCTGCGTTGGGACGATCCTGAATCGTGCCAGAACGCGATTCCAGGTACTTCAACACAGAGAAACAATGTAATTGTTGCACCCGCATAATCCTGAACCTGTCTAAAACACCATTTCTGGTACGCTGATCATGGGCATCCGCGAAACTCTTTTAAATGTTTAAAACGAATGTGCGCCGCGCTGAGGCGAGAGTCACAGTTTGAAAAGGAACCGCCCTCAATCCGTGAAGCTCCTGCAATTTGTTTTAAAGAATGTGCGCCGCGCTAAGGCGAGAGCAACAGTTTGAAAACGACCCGCCCTCAATCCGTGAACATTTTGCAAATATTCCAAACAAGTGTGCGCCTCGCTAAGGCGAGAGCCACATTTTGAAAACGACCCGCCTTCAATCCGTGAAACCCTTGCAAATGTTAAATGCAAATATGCGCCGCGCTGAGGCGAGAGCCACAGTTTGGAAAGGAACTGCCCTCAATCCGTGAAGCTCCTGCAATTTTTGTATGAAGAAGAAATTGCGCCGCGCTAAGGCGAGAGCCACATATTGAAAACAACCAGCCCTCCATATGTGAAGCTGTTGCCTTTTTTTTACAAGCTTCAGAGTCATACGTGGTGAGGAAATCCCAGGCGAAACGCCCAGCCCGTCCTAAGAACTAGCCTCGGGGTGCGACAGGGATAAGTTCTTTATGAGGAATAGGAGGAGGAGGAGGAGGAGGAAGAGGAGGAGGAGGAGGAGGAGGAGGAGGAGGAGGATGGAGGATGGAGGATGGAGGAGGATGGAGGAGGATGGAGGAGGATGGGGGAGGAGGGGGAGGAGGGGGAGGAGGAGGAGGAGGAGGACGAGAAGGAGGAGGGGAGCCACCTCCGCGGCCCCGCCCCTCCCTTCGAGGCATGCGCGGGCGTGGGCTCCTGCTCCTGCTCTTCGCTCCGCTCCTCCTGCTGCTGCTCCTGCTGCTGCCTCCCCCCCGGCTCCTGCGGGCTCGCCTCTCGGGCTCGCCCCTCGTCCTCCGAGCCTCCCCCGCTCTCCGTTGCGCCCCTCCGCCCGCCGCCTGCCGGCGCCGCTGGGCGTCGTGGCGAGGAGGCGTTCTTCTGGGCGGGGCCCCGCGCCGCCTCCCCACGGGTCTGCTCCCTGCTCGGTGCCGGGGGCATCTTTGGATCTTGCTGCCATCTCGGCTCAGCAGAGGCAGAGCGTTCCAGCCTCGCGTGGGCAGCCAGCCCGTCGGATTGCCCGTGGCTCGGGAGTGCCGGGTCCCTCTCGGATTGGTGCACCTGGGGGGCCCAGTTGATCACGAGAAAGATTGCGGCGGGGATCGCAGTCTGGATGTACTGCGAAATTCGAGCTGTAATGCAGAAGGTGGGGCACTTCCCGTCGCGCGAAGCCAACAGCGAGAAGCGCCTCAGCCGATTCGATCAAGCACCAGCCGTTGGGCGCCAGTCGGACCTATGCATGCCAAGGTGGACGCCCTGCGAGTTCGGAACTTGCCTACACTTGGGGGCATGACCTGGATCGCCATGACAAAAAAAAACAGCTTTGAAGCGCGCTGAGCTGATGGTGGCCAGCGCAAACGCCGTGCAGGAGGCCACCACCACGACAAGAGAGCCAGCGGCGGGCGTGGCGAGCTCCAGGAGCAGGCCGACGGGCGCGCCAGCTCGCCAGATGGCAAGGACCGAAAGAAAAGTACGACGCTTCCGCCGAGAATGGCACGAACGTGAACGATGCTGTTGGTATCCTCCCCCTCCCCCTCTTCCTCCTCCCTCCTCCTCCTCCTCCTCCTCCTCCTCCTCCACCTCCTCCTCCTCCTCCTCCTCATATCCCATATCCGCCGCCGCCGCCGCCGCCTCCTCCTCCTCCTCCTCCCTAGCCTTCCCCTTGGCCTTATTCTCTCACCTCGGCCCCCAGTCTCGGCTAGTCGCCCGTCTCCCCGAGGCACCCTTTCCAACCCAGGCAGAAGGCAAAAAAGGACAGTGTCGAATCAGAGCATCTACGGCTCTAAACTAGGAGCTCACGGCGCGCGCCATGCTCATCATCCGTTTTTGTCCTTGCTAATGCGAATTGGTTTCCTCACCGTCGAGCCTGTCCGTCAACCGCCGTCACCAACATGCACTCATGATTCAGACGGGCATTCGAGGCGAGCGCGCGCGCTCGCTTATGTCCCGCCTTCGCGTCGCTGTCATCGCTGACACTCTACGCTTCGCTGAGGCCAGCCCAGCTTTTCAAACTCAGAACAAGTACCACGCCTCTCGTCTTGACGGCGGCGCCTGTGCAGCGATCTGGCGCGGATTGAGCACGGGTTGCCTCGCACACGTGCTGCTCTTCTGTCCATGAGCAGCCACTGTGCGCAGCTTCACCATGCTCGCGATAGGAAGGAGGAGGAGGAGGAGGAGGACGAGGAGGAGGAGGAGGAGTAGGACGAGGAGGAGGAGGAGGAGGAGGAGGAAGAGGAGGAGGAGGAGGAGGAGAAAAAAGGAGGAGACAGCCAAAGCCAACTATGCCACAGCAGTGCGTGAGCTCGCCTCCACAGTTTAGCCCTAGCCCCAGCCCCAGCCTCAGCAGCCAGTCGCGCCCACCCTGTCCCTGGAACAACTTATGGATGGTTGTCTTGAGGGGGTTCAGTTGGATGGTGGTGGCCTGTTTAGGCTTGAGGAGGTGGGTTGGGAGCCGTCTCAGGAGGAGAGGGAGGATGCAGCGAGGAGTAAGGAGCAGCTCGCTTCGGTATCCAAGGAGGCTGTGGTCCAGGCTTTCGGGGCGTTCCGTGAGCAAGCCAAATCTGCCGTGGCCCATCAGAAAGAGTTCAAAGCACGTCTCCATGCTAAGAAACGCCGCGCTGATGAGGGCAGCGCGTCTGGGGGTGAAGGTGTGCCTGGTGTTGGTGCTGATCTTGGGGCCCCCTCAGAGACAGCAGCAGCAGCAACAACCCAAGCCCCAGCAGCCCCACCAGCCTCAGCAGCGGCGGGCCCCCTCCATCTGCCCCTGACCCAGGGGCCCCCAAGTCCACTGAGGAGCTTTTTCGGGCGGCCTGCGCCGTCGCCTCGAAGGGTGCAGGTACGGCTGGGGGCAAGAAGGCAAGGGGGGCAGAGGTGGCAGGAGGAGGCGGCGCCACGGCAGCGGCAGCAGCAGCAGCAGCAGGAGCGAGGTCCGCGGGCGGAGGGGCCGCTCAAGGCCCCCAGCAGCGGCTTTGACCGCGCCGCGGGAGGCGGGAGGCACGCGGCCGCCGCGGCGGCATATGGGCTCGATAAGGATGAGATTGTGACCGTGCTGACAGCGAGCACCAGCGACTGGTGCAACTGCCAGAAGTTTTTCGAGAGGGAGGCCGCAGGCGCGGCCGCTGTCCTGGTTCAGGAGATATGGGGTGAGCCCCCCCCCCCCCGCAAGGATGAGCGTGAGGCTAAACTGAGACGTTGGGCATGAACGATCAAACTCAGTCCTCGTAGACCCACTGAGGCCGGGGGGGCTGTCTTCTGGAGTAGGGATCGCCGTGCCCAAGCATGTGGGTATGTCTCAGGCGCAGTGGCAAGGGCCCCCTCTTCTCTCGGCGCCGCGGGTCACGATGACTTGGAACAGCCGCATTGTGTCAGGATGTTTTTTTTTTGTATAGCGATATCGTTTTATTTTCCGACTGGCGACCCACTCGGGGAATCGCAGATTCTATTTCGTCTGGGGGAAGTGCTCCATGCCCTCCGTTTGTCGTTTTTCATCGGAGGAGACTGGAACTGCCCCCCTGCTCAACGCTGCCAGTTTGGTTGGGTGGGTAGGCTGGGAGGTCATATTGCATCGTCAGGAGAGGCCACATGCAGAAATGGTAAGACTTGGAAGGGGGTGGACTATTTCGTTGTGTCCTCGGGGCTGGCGCCGTCCATAGTCTCGGTCGAAGTGGTCCATGGCGCCGCCATCATCCCGCGCTACCCAGTCGCGCTCAAGTTGAAGTCTCGCCTGGTCCGAACTGTGTACCCAGTGCTGTCAGGTCCCAGGAGGTTCCCCTTTGGGGGGCCCTGCTCTCCTTCTGCCTGGGCCGCCAGACTGGAGTTTCGTTGAGGACATGATCCTACGGCGTGGCGCGGCGGGGGGGGGCGGAGCCAGAGGGCCGCGGGCAGCAGGAGCTGGACCGAGTGAGTGGTATTTTTTTTATCTCGTGGAGACGGAGTTGATCGCAGCTCACGTCCTACATGGGGCCCGATGAATGTAGGTATCGAGGCCGAGGCAGGGGGTGGAAGTTGAAGACGGTACCTCGGGCAAGGCCAGTGGAGGGCCGTGCGCGCCGTCTTGCGTCAAGGCTAGAGGATGGAGGAAGGTTTCGACCAGGTTCCTGGAGCTTGCTTATGTCGTGCGCCGTGAGGAGGGCTGTTTCCCACAGCGCTGCATGATATCGATCTCCAGGGTTGTGTTCAGTCTGCCACCTGACGAAGACTCTGATTTCTGGACTAGATGGTGCCCCACCTTCGAGGGCATCCTGGCTTTGTCGTTTGATCAGTTGGGGGCCAACTAGAGTTTGGCCGCATACATTGCGTCGCTGCTGGAACAATCCTTCACCAGGGCCCGTGGCTCGGCGCGGGGGAAATGGGTGTCCGGCGCTTGCGGCAGCGGGGCAGGAAGGGCTCACCGTTTCACGGAGACTCCTGTTGGTGGGCGCCCCTCGGCCACAGGCCCTGAAGGGGGGCCCGCTGGGGTTGGGAAGTCAGGCGGGCGCCTTGCAGTATGAGCGGGGTCAGATTCGGGGCGCGCCCGCCGCCGCAAAGGACGCTTCCTGCGGCGAGAGATCGTCGACCTCTGATGACCCTGCTTCG